TAACCAAAATCCCAACAATTTTCCAAATCCCAACAATTATCAAAATCCCAACTATTATCAAAATCCAAATCAATTTTCCAACCAACATCCTCAAAACATACCTAATTTTGGTTTTCCACCAAATTTCAACCAGACATCCTCTGTTCCAAACTTTCAAACATATTATGGATCTATGCCGAGAAATTCATCTCAAACACCCCCGTTTAATGGTTATGTGACAATGGCGAATGCAAATTTTCCAAGTGGTGGTGTACCTGAATTTTCCGAGTTTTCAACACAACTAACTATTGGTGGCATGATAGTTTCTAATGAAGTCGGTCCGAATTCAGAGGATTCAACTCCTAAGAGCAGGAAAACTCAGCAACCAGCATGGAACACTGAACAAAATTTGGTGCTAATTAGTGGGTGGATTAAATTTGGAACAAGCAGTGTTGTCGGGAGAAACCAGAAAGGTGAAACATATTGGGGTAAAATTGCTGAGTATTGTAATGAGCATTGCTCATTCGATCCTCCGCGTGATGGACCTGCATGCCGAAACCGTTTTAATTATATGAACAAAGTGTTGGGTAAATGGATTGGCGCTTATGATGGCGCTAAGCGTATGCAAGGAAGTGGTTGGTCGGAGAATGATGTTTTGGCAAAAGCGCAGGAATTATATGCATGTGGGAAGAATGTTAGATTCACTTTAATGGAAGAATGGCACGCTCTCCGTGATCAACCACGTTATGGTAGTCAAGTAGGAGGAAATATTGGCTCAGGAAGTAGTGGATCTAAGAGATCTCGCGAGAGTGATGCATGTGGCTCAAACACTGTAGAATCCAGTGCTCGTCCTATAGGAAGGGAGGCAGCTAAAAAAAAGGGTAAAAAGAAAAGCAAGGAATATGCCTCGGAGGTGGTGGAGAAAGAATGGGCTGAATACAAAGAATTCAAGACGAAAGAGCTTGAATGATTGGACAACATAGCCTTGATGCAACAGCAGGCTAACAATATAGCCTTGGAAAAGACTAAAACCAAGAAAATGAAGATGTATCTAAAGCTAACTTCCGAAGAGCATCTAGATGACCGGAAGAACCAGCTGTTGAAAAAGTTGGAGGCAGAACTGTTTGATAATTAATTTCAATGAAGTATTTGTCAGTGTTGTGTTTGCTTTAATTATTGTTGTTTCAATATGCCAGTGTAGTGTTTGCTTTAATTATTGTTGTTTCAATATGCCAGTGTAGTGTTTGCTTTAATTATTCCTTATCTGATAATTAACTCTATACAATAAATTATTTCGAATCCGTCAGTGGTCCACCACCCAATTCGAATCTATTCCTTATCTGATAATTAACTCTATACAATAAATTATTTCGAATCCGTCAGTGGTCCACCACCCACATCCATTTATATATAGGGACTCATACATCCATTTATGTACCAATATCCCAAATCCCATCCAATCTACCTCCAATATCACAAAAAAATGGATCCATCACAATATCATTTTGATATCGCAGCCTACAATCAAAATCGTGAAATTGAAGAAAATTATATAGTCAATCGATTTAGAGAGCGTAGAAACAAAATATCGGAAGATAATGCACCTCGTAGTAGAAAATATCTCAATAGAGATCATGCAGCGGCAAACCAAAGACTAATTGACGACTACTTTGCCAATGAGCCTACATATGACGATGCAATGTTTCGTCGTCGGTACCGGATGAAAAAAAATGTTTTCCTTCGAATCGTTGGGGACCTTTCAAGTAGTGATAACTACTTCACCCAGCGAGTTGATGCAGCCAATAAAGAAGGTATATCACCCTTGGCAAAATGTACCACAGCAATGCGAATGTTAGCATATGGTGTGGCAGCAGATGCGGTCGACGAGTACATCAAAATAGGAGGTACTACAGCATTGGAGTGCTTACGTAGATTCTGTAAAGGAATCATACGCTTGTACGAGCAAGTGTATCTGAGAGCACCAACCCAAGATGACCTGCAAAGAATACTGCATGTTAGTGAAATGCGGGGGTTCCCAGGGATGATTGGGAGTATTGACTGCATGCACTGGGAGTGGAAAAATTGTCCTAAAGTATGGGAAGGACAATTTACTAGAGGGGATAAGGGAACCACCACAGTTATTCTTGAAGCAGTTGCATCTCATGACCTATGGATCTGGCATGCCTTTTTTGGATGTCCGGGAACGTTGAACGATATAAACGTTCTAGACCGGTCACCAGTGTTTGATGACGTGGAACAGGGAAAGGCTCCAAGTGTGAATTTCTTTGTGAATCAACGTCCATATAATATGGCATACTATCTAGCTGATGGTATCTACCCTTCTTATCCAACTTTCGTCAAATCGATTAGACTTCCTCAAAGTGAACCCGATAAATTATTTGCAAAATTTCAGGAGGGATGTCGGAAGGACATCGAACGTGCATTTGGAGTGCTCCAAGCTCGATTTAAAATCATCCGTGAACCAGCTCGCTTGTGGGACATAGCTGATTTGGGTATCATCATGAGGTCATGCATCATATTACATAATATGATTGTTGAGGATGAACGAGATTCATATTCTCAACGTTGGACCGATTTTGAGCAATCTGGGGAAAGTGGATCTAGTGCACCACAACCATACTCGACCGAGGTGTTACCCGCTTTTGCAAATCATGTGCGTGCTAGATCAGAGTTCCGTGATCCAAATGTTCATCAAGAATTGCAAGCCGATCTAGTGAAGCACATATGGACAAAGTTTGGAATGTTCCGTGATTGAATTATTTGTGTGTTGTATTGCATTTTAAATTATTTGTATCGTACTAATTACGTTACTTGTGTGTTGTATTGCATTTTAAATTATTTGTAACGTACTAATTACGTTAATTGTGTGTTGTATTTTAAATTAATTTAAGATGATTTGTATCGTATCCAATTATTTAAATAAATTTTGTTTTTATTACAAAAAATTAAAAAATAAATTATTAAGTATCTATTATTTTAATTTAATTTTAATCGATAATTGTAATTTTATGTAATCATAAAAATAAAAATAAAATTTAAATAAGAATATGAAAATAAAAAGTGGTGGGGTAGGGTGTTGAGTGAAAAACCATTGGAGAGGGTAAAAGTTGAATGGGTGTTGAGTTATTAGGTGGAAGAAAGAGAAAATGATGTGGAGTGTTGGGAGTTGAAAAAATGAGTGTTGAGTTTGTAAACCATTGTAAATGGTCTTATAGATTTGTCTTGTTTGCTCTATAAATAAAACCCAAAGACAAAAAGCTTAAAATACCTAATTCTGCTAAAATTACAAAATTAGGTTTAAGATAAAATCCAGAGGTTAATTCCTCAACACTTTAACAATTAGATGTTTCGACACACACAATAGACTATTCAACAATTTTCTTATCTCTGTCCAACGAAATTATAATTCAACCTTATGTTGACTTTAAGAAAATTTACAAGAGAGATAAATAGTTGTTATCCTCAAACCCTTTACTGGAAAATGCAAACCAAGGAAACAATTTAGATTAATCGGAAGAAGTCCATTTCCGAGTGAATAAAACTTAATTAATAATGATGGTGCTTGCATGGAGATAATGAGATCGTTAACATCTTACTCAATAACTCATAAGAGAGATGGATCAAAAGTAATATTATGTCTAATTTCGTCATACTTATACAGGGGGCAAAATTGATGCAGTGATTGGCCAGCTTTAGTTTTCCTCAAATATCATTAAATTGTATTTCTCATGAGACTTAGCTTTATAAACTGTTTTTTCAATCTTTTGTACCAAGAAAAAAGGAACACAACAAACTCATTATAGAGACAAGCATTTCAATGTCTATTTTTCATTCACAAGACTCTACTCATAAACTATTTAAAACTAAAATAAAATAAACTTCACTTTCAACATTTGCGTATTCTAAAACTCCAATTAGTGCCTACATGTGGTATATAGTTAAATCTCCTAATTATTTGAAAAATAAGTTCCATGTTCAAATTGATATGTATAAAATATCTATTAGAAGAGACTCACCCCTTACGTGATATAGCTGGGCGTGAAGATAATTTGTTTTTTTATTGTAAAAAGTTCAAATAATGATAATGACATTAACAATGGATGCTAACGTGATGAGAACATCTTGGTTTATTAGATGTTTCTGTCCAAAATGCAAACAGAGCCTCTTCAACAACACAGAGACTACGTTGTCATTTTAAACAGAGGAAAATCTAGACTCAATGAGAAGTAATTTTTTAATGATCTTTGTGATACAAGTCATAAACATTTAGTAATTGCTTATAGTGTATTTCAGGAAAGATTACAATTCTTTAGGGATATACGATTCGCATATGGGGGCCAAAGTAATTTCAATTTATAAGTAATATTTGAAGGGTTAAGAGAATCTTAAAATTTGATATTACAAAAAACAAGGAATGTCTAGTAAACAAATTAAGCAATTCTTCCAAAAGATTATAAGCATATAGCATTTGATCTCAATGATATGAATTCTCTCCCAAAGTTGTAGTGGCAGCTAACCAACAAGTCCATCACTTACAAAGCTAAGATCTCAAAGAAAAGCAGTTGCAAAATAAAGCCCATCAAAAACCATGTAAAATGATTTACACACAATTAGAACTTCAATAGACATGTCTTCATCTGAGATAAAAAAGTTACACAACTTTTTCCTACATTTAAGCTGCTTGACATGCCGCATACCAATATTTAAGTACATGATTGAGAAAGTCCTCATTCAATAACAGATGGCAGGAAGAGCACAGATAGTTCCGGTCATTAGACTCCGATGGAGATACAAATGATGCAGAAAAAACTGCATAGAACAGAAATAAATAAAAAATAGAAGAGAATGTTGATTAGTGGATTTCAATAAAGGCTAAGTCCCAGCAAATACCATGCATCCTTCCCATAGAAAATAGCAAAGAATAAGGAAATGTGATTCTACTGAACAAGTACTGCATTAGTCCAAAATTCAATATAAAATAACATACAAGTTTGACCAGGTCATTGATTGGCCTCAGGTGCTTGAGCATTGGCATTGTGATTATCATAACCTCCAGATGATGGTGGCGGTGCACTGGCTTGATACATTGCTGATGATGCCATAGAAGGAGCACCATTGGAAGGTGGTGGTACAGTGCTTCCAGGAACTGCTGGTGGGGGAACTAATGAAGGGGGCCTAGGTAGGGTATTTAACTGACCTGGTATCTGGGGGGCACCAGGTGGAGGCATCATTTGTGGCATGGTGGTAGGTGCAGGAGGATACCCTGTAAACTCCAATTTAAAACCACTTACATTACACGTGATGGAATAAGTTAGAGGAATGCTATTTGAACATATAAAGTTCAACGTATTTGACACCATGTAAAAACACTTATAACTATTGACTTGACTTGAAGAGAGAGAAATAAGTCAAATAACTAAGATAAAAGTGTCCGGACAACAAAATTGTTGTCCAAATAACATTTCTCAATAAATTAACTGGTTTATAATGCTTGAACTTTTTATTTTGAAACAGCAAAATGAAACTAATGCATTAAAATAACCACATCCATGCACAAGATGTGCAAAAATGATAACAGAAGTACAAGCAGTGAGCAAAAATAGCGAAGCTAACCAGACAAAAATGTAACAAGAAGAGCTCCAACAAAAAATAAAGAACCCCAAAAAACTGTCATAAAAACTAGCCTACAACTTCCCAAATGAGAGCCGAATTTCTAAATCTCCACGGTGGAACCTGCATAATTATGTATGTCAGTCATGGAATAGCCAAGCACCAGGGCTCCAAATAAACCCCAAAGATATGGAGCATACTAAACCAAAAATGAGGTTGCACCCAACACTGAACCATTTTAAGCACACTGAACCAATTCATTTATTTTCACCCAATACAACAGTAGCAAAAACACTAGCCTCCAACAACCTCTAGTGATATCACATTATAATGCTTGAACTTGGCTACCCAATTCTTCAAAACTCTTGGCACAGTAAAGGTAGCTGCTTTTCAAATAAAAATTCTGTCCATCCAGAAAACCAAACCAAAACATACAGACTCAACTTTAAAAAGAAAGGTTACGTGTAAGGAATAGTCATCATATCATAAAAGAAAAAAGGCCAAAGACAAAAAGAATATGGTAAGCCATTAAGATGTGTATAATCATAGTCATTTCATTTTGAAAGGAAAAAATTGACCACATCTAAAACGCGGAAGACAAGAACAATAAAATGCTTCAACAAGAGGCAACGACAGCTTTGTGTAAATTGCAAACGGTGCAGATGGGAAAATAAAACATTCACCTGGTGCCCCAGGAATAGGTAGTGGCCTAGGCATGAGAGGTCTGAACCCTGGCATTAATGGTTGACCTCCAGGAATGGGAAATCTCGGGGGCGGCAATACAGGAGGAAGGTTTGGCCTCTGACCCATTAGATGATTATAAGCCCCACCAACCTGCTGAAACGCCGCAGCTTGCCCGAGATGTTCTTTGATCCGCTGATCAATTAAACTTTGGGTTTGTTGCTCTTCAAATTGCTGATAGTAAGACCTCACATTAGCCTGAAAACACAAAACACATCAAACAAATCTCACAAATATAACTTAGATTAATTTTCAAAAGTGAGAAAACTTCGCAGCACCTTGTGTTTATAACCAGAGTTATGCTGCTTTCTAACAGATGGCTGCAACATTACACAAAGTTAGCAACATTTGCATTGTCCATCTGTCGCTTACAATGAAAATCATACGCTTCTTCAGAAAAATAAGAAAGTATCATTTATCAGAAGAAACTAATATTGTTGATTATGAGCATAAATGAATTATAGAAATGGTAGATTGAAATCAAAGTGAAAGGCAACATAATTGGTGATTGGTGAGGGAAAAAACTTACAGAGTCGTGGGTCAAATAGGTATCGCAGTAGTCACAGTAGTACCTGAAATGCAAATGGAACGAAAATGAATGAAAAGTGAAATATGAAGGTTTGAGATTTTAGTTTGAGGGAGAGATTTGAAGTACCGAGGCATTGCTGTTTCAGTGATGACCGGAAAACCCTAGCAATGGAGCAAATTAGGAGCACTGTGGAACTTTCTGGATACCAGTATCTGTGTGAGTGTGACATTGCAAGAGGAAGTTCGCCGTGAGGTTTTTATTGTTTTTTCGGGTAAGGGGCACATTTTAAGAAACATAAAAATAGATAATTTGTGTTGGAAAGGATAATGAAAAAATTAATTTGATAAACATGATGCATAATTTTCAAGAATTTTTTTTATATTTAACTCTTAATTTGTGCTCATATAGCACAGGTTAATAGTACCCTTATTTTTTTAGGTAAAAATTTGTTTTATTTAATTTTAAAATTTCACTATTTTGGATGGACTTTGGATTTTTGTATGGTTAATTTAATAAATTTGACTTAAATGTATTTTTAGTTCTTTAAATTTGTTTTTTAACTTTTAGTTTTTTTATTTTAAAATTCAATTTTGTTTTGGTTCTGAACTATATTTTTTTGGAATTTTCATAATCCTTTATGTTTTAAATGGAAATAGATTAGACCGAGTTAAGTTTTGTCAAGTTTGAAACTGACTTATTAAAAAATTTTAATGTTAAATCTAGCATGTAATTTATCATATGCTTAGTTTTAGGCCTAAATCTTATTTTTTTAAGTTCTGATTGACCTATTAGTCTATTTAAAAATCTATTTTATTTGAACGTTTATAAATAAGAAATTCAACTCATGTTAAATAGATTAAGAAATCAAAAGATCATTAAGACTAAATATTTATTTTCATTGTCTCGTTCAAATTTACCTATTACTATAAATTTGACGATATTATTTGTTGAAGAAAACTTATGGAAAAAAACTTATGACAACAACTTACAAAATTATTTATAATGTTTTTTCAACTTATTTTAATAAGTTGTTTAAAATAACTAAGCTTTATTTTCGTATTTTAATTTAAAGTAAAAAATACAATATAATAATAATAAGTTTATTGAATTTTTTATAAATAGACTTCTGATAAGCTTAAAAGGCTTCTCTTACGACTTGTGGCCTAGTCTCTTTAGCTAAATAGACTTATAAAATAGCTTAAACTTTTTCTATTTAAGAAAAAGTTTGGTCTAATCTTAGATTCTCATTCCTAGTTGCAATAATAATCTGGATAAAAAATCATTTTTAATGAGTTAAAAATATTGACATGGATAATTTATTATTTAAATATATAAAATAATTTTATTTAATTAATTAATTTTTTTTATAATTAATAGAATCATTAATTGATTTTGTTTAATTTTTTATAATTAATAGAATTATTTAATTTATTTAATTTTTAAATTTTAATTATATTAATAGAATAATATGATTTAATTATATTATTTTGAAATTATTTAGTATAATTTTAAGCCCCAGGATGTCATCAAGTGAGAATATTTAAATAGGGGCAACTGTCATACCTCAAATTTTACCTTCCGATTCTTTGATCTTTTACATATCATTATAGGTCAATCATATTTCTTAGCTAACCAACTTTTTAGCTTTTGTTCATTTTTATTTCACTTATGAATCAAGGTTTGCTTCAGGAGACCTCGAGGGTCAGCGAATCAAGGTTTTGGATAGATCATCAATTATTTAAGCTTAGAAGATGTGGGGTTGGAGGTTTTATGTTAAATTGGATTTCCTTTGTTCATAGTTTGTCCCTTCAGTTATTTGTACTCAAGTTTGAGGTAGAAGTGTTGAGTTTTCAATTGTCATGAGCAGTTCCTATCAAAGGTTTATCAAGGCATGGCTTCACAAGGTGTCATTTGTTCAGGATTTCATCAGTGGTTTGCCTGAAAAGTCCTGAATCAGGATTCTGGAGAATTAGGGTTTCTCATCCTTGGAGTTTATGTTTGACAAATGTCATCAAGTTTGAGTTTCACCTGAGGCTAGCAAGTTCAGTGTGCATGCAAGTATTGATTGGTTGGTTAGGGTTTTCAATATTGGTATGAAGATTCGTCAGGTTGTGGTCCAATAAAGATCGTTTCAAGATGGATTCGAGTTTTTGTTGTTGTTCAGAATTTATGGCGGTCATATGCATTTGTGGAATTTTTAAGTGTTGTGGAGGCGCGCTATAAAATTCATATCCATTTCGTAACCGTTTTATCCATCTTTGCCATTCATCCATTTTCAATAACCATTATCCATTTTTCAATCCAGTTTTCAATTTTCCTTTCCAAATCCATTCAATATCCAATTTCTATTTCATTATCTTTTTCATTTTATTCCATATCCATTAAAACCACTATTGAATTCATTCCCAATTACTATCCAAACATCCATTTCAAATTCAATTACCCACATCCAATTCACAATCATAAATATCTAATATCCATTTAGATTTAATTTTCCAAAAAAAAAATATCCATTCAAATTGTTCCATTTATAATCCATTATATCAATTAACCCATGTCCATAAGATCCTTTCCAAATTTCATACAAAGCCCATAAAGTCATTACCATTTTCCACTACCGATTTCCATACAAGATTCACAAAATCAGTCACCATCACAACAATCCATTTCTACCACAAGTTTACAAAAAAGCAAATAAAGGCCTTGAGGTATTAAAATAAGAAGAGTCAATTATCATTACAAGAATGTCCATTACACTAAGGCCCATTACCATTTCCTTACTTTGTTACAAAAATTTCAAAAAATAATAATACAACATCAACACGACATCCTACTTCATCCTACATCACTTTCATCAACATGTCCTACACTGCTACTTTATAGTAAGTCTGATAAAATCTCTTCAAATTTTAACCAAAGTTGTGCTTCACTTTTTCAACAAAAGAAAAATGCCATCCCCATGCTGCTACCATCCAAACATGCCTCAAAACTCCATAAACTTGATAATGCACACACCGAGACAAAAGTCTGTGTAAAACATTCACCAAAATACTTGCTACAATCCCGCGTTAATACCTCAAAACAAAACCAAAGAAAAACTTGTTGTCATGAAAGTGACCTCACCAAGAGGCACATTAGAAAATTAAAATAACTTTGAGTCAAAAAAGAAGAGGAGGAACAGGGGAAAAAAGAAATGAGGAAAAACTTGAACCCCCAACTTTGACCTACACTTTGCATCCTGCTTCAAATTTCCTGCAAACTATACACAACCTGTGAACCGTACTGCTACATGGAAGCTATAATACACACTACATCACCAAATTCAAAACCTTCATAAATCTGCAACAAGCCCACACCAAGAGATGGACAACACAATACTTGCATAACCACAGACCAATATAATTTCCAATGAAACAACAATTCAAAAAAAAGAGAGCAAAAACCTCATTTTCCTTCATGAAAAGCTTTCTGGTGTTTCCTCTTGATTGACGAACCACTTTCATCCTTCCCTTCGACTCGACCCTTTTCTCGACTCAGGAACCACTTTATCATTCACTCTCCAATCTCTCTCCCTCAAAGGCTTGAACACACGCAAATTTCTCTGGTTCACCATACCATCCTTGTACCCACATAAATCAGAAAAGGAAAATAAAGGGTGTATAATCTGGAACCATCCCAAATCACATACTAGATCGAGAATCAAAGAGAAGAAGATCAAAATTTTGAACCTGGAATAAAAAAAAAATGGCGAAAGCGGTTAGGAGAGAGAGTTTCGATTCATGCTAGGAGGTTAGATTTTGGTCGCTCCACTTTCATGTTTGCCCTTTAACGATCATCTTTCCCTTTTCCTATTGCGTTTCTCCGTTAAATTGGAAGATGATGTGCCTTTGTTTGTGACTGGCCATTAAACCTATGGCTGTAGTTTTTTTTTCAAATCCATGTATCTTGGGTTTCGTCTAGTCTCCACTTGAGGCCCCGTAGGATTACTCTGTTTGCTGCCTCGGCTTGCCTGTTAGTCTAGGGGTGCTCGACGAACGTAAAATGTTGTATGATGCCCAGTTAGGCAACAAACTCCTGAAACTTTTTGTCCATGAATTATGTCCCATTATCAGTGACAATCGCTTGGAGAATGCCGAAGCGGACAAGGATGTTTGGCTTGTAGAAACGAAGTATGTTGTGAGCCGTTATTTTAGCCAGAGTCGCAGTTTCAATCCACTTGGTGAAGTAGTTTACGCATACTATTAGGTACTTGTTCTGATTTGACCCTACGACAAACGGTCCCAGAATATCCAGGCCCGACCAGGTGAAGGGCCACGGAGAGGACATTTCTTTGAGTTCATTGGGCGATGCCAAGTGCATGTCCCCGTGCCGATGACACTTGTCGCATTTCTTCATGTGTTCCTTCGTGTCATGCTCCATGGTTGGCTAGTAATATCCTGCATGTAGGGCCTTCTTGGTGAGGGATCTCCCCCTGAGGTACTGAGCATTGATGCCCTCGTGGATCTCGCGCAGAACATGGGCGACCATCTCTTCCTCGACACATTTGAGGAGAGGGATGGAAAACTGTCGTCTGTAAAGCTTACTTTTGACCAGGACGTAGGAGCAGGCTCTGCGCCTGACTATGCTGGTTTCCTTGGGGTCGAACGGTATTGTTTCCTTGGCGAGGTAATTGTATACGAGGGTCATCCAACAACAATTGTCATTGACGACGTGTATGTCAAGGGTCACAAAATCTTTTTCAATGCTAGGTCGTGGAAGTACTTCCTGGATGACAGATTTGTTCCCCCCTTTCTTTTTCGTGCTTGCTAGTTTTGATAAGACGTCCGCCTGAATGTTGTGTTCACGGGGGACATGTTTCACTTCTATAGAGGTGAACTTTGTCATATTTTCTTTGACCAGGGTCAAGTATTCAGACAGATTATCATTCTTGACCTGGTATTCTACCCGAACTTGGAGGGACACGAGCTGAGAATCGGTGTAGATGATGACTTCTTCAGCCCCTAGGTCTTCGGCGAGGCGTAGACCTGCGAGGAAGGATTCATATTTGACCTGGTTGTTAGAAGTGGGGAAGGACAATGTGAGCGAGACTTCGATGAGGATTCCATCCTTGTTTTCCAAGATGATACCTACCATG